ATATCTCAACCGGCACTGCGATTGCACATGTCCGAGAAGGGCAATGCAAGATTCTTTGAACAGTTCGTGTCATTAGCTTTGGAGTTTTTAAGCAATGATCAGATGACAGCGAATGCGTTCACATGTGACGAATAATAGAGCAGCCGTCAAATATATAGATTGATCTCGAAATAAGCTGTAAAACTGACTGAGAAGCAGTCCCTAGCAATATGATAACAATGCTATAGGAAGGGCGATTTAGTCACTGGCAAAGTTAATCAAAAAATATCAATGCCTGATGCTGGCACTGTGACGCGGTATTTCTGCTGCCATCAAATAAGCATGTAGCTGGAACGAAACCCAGTGGAGAAGTGCTTTGTTGTCGCGTGAAGTGGTCAGGGCATTGCTGCTGTTTAAAATCATTTTGGGGCAGTTCTATTATTGGCTTCGATAGATGCATACAGTCATAGATACATATTAGGTGCATACACAAACGTACCTACAAGCATCCATACGTAAATAAATTCATGTGTATGTATGCATATCTGTGTGTTTTTGTACTTATGTATGAATGTACGTATACAGGTATGTTTATATCTATGCGTGCATTGGAGGGAGAAGGCTCGAAACTGAATTGCAGGCGTTTTTACGACCAGCGCCATTCGTCGCTGACTGCCGCTCTGTCCAACTTATCTATGCGTGTTCGTATGGGTAAATCTATGTATGTTATCTGCGCATCGTGTGTATTCTGCTATGTGTGGTGGTGTCTGTCGATGTATGTATGTGTGCATGTTTCTAGGTAAATGTGTGTTTGTTTCTTTGTATCTGCCCATGTATATATGTATTAAAATAAGTGTGCATGTCTTATGGATAAAAATATGTGCACATTTATTCACGTACGTACATGTCGCACGGCACCAACGCCAGAATCGTGAATTTACCGCAGGACAGGAGTGCACATTGACGTAATGACCTGCACAGTCAACATAATGGAATTGCTAGCAGAAATTCATAATCACGATTACGGCACCTTATTTCATTCGGGCTTTAAATTGATATATGACATGACGGGTTAAGTCAAATAGTTTAAACGTATGACCACCGTTCAGTTGTACAGCTTTAAATCGGTGATTGCATCGCAGTTTTTACAGCGACCAGCGGCTTGTGGTCAATCAGGGTGCGCCAAAACGGCTGCACTAAAACTTCACAAACCAGTACGTTTGTGTGTTGTGTGTATGAATATGTGCAAGTAACTCTGCATATATGTAGGTGCCTATGTGTATGTGCGTAGCATTTTTTATCTATTATTAATATTCTTATTCCTGTACCATATGTTCTTGCTCTATTCTTTCATGGTTATTTTATCTTTGGGCCTGTCACTGTCAGCGCTAGTGTTACTTTCATTATCGTGAATTGTTATTGCTGTAGTAATATGCAGATGTCTGGCTTCATTCTGCCATATATGCCATGTTTTACGCCGCGGTTGCTCCGGTCTGCTATCCTCAAAACCGCTGAGTTATCTAATTTACTATTCTTGTAGTTTGTTGGTCTTTGTTTTCATTATTAGCGGTAACCAAACCGCGATTCTTGAAATTGTAGGTTTATGACACAGTCGTCCGTGTTATGTGATACGGGCCGTGGCGGCACATTTGTAAGCAGTTCTGCTTCAAATTTTCGATGTAGCAATCTTAGTTTTGAACACAGTTCGTCCAGGGCAAGCGTTCTCTTGTGGTGTGATCATACCGGAATGGGCAAGTGGCATGGCAATGCTGTGTAAACCGGACGCCTTTTATAGCTTTAGTTCACTCTGATCCACCTGATTGCTGAGTATATTTTGATAGCAGTGGCATAACCTTTATTGTTAATGTAATTAACCTTGTTAATTTCGTGTAAGAAGGCTTATGTGCGATGCGGAGAATGTTCTCTTATGGGGTTTAGGATTTTATCTTTATCAATGAGAAAATCATCTGGCGGTCAGCTACGTCTGTTCAACAGCTGTGAAAGATGTACCTTCATTTCCGGTGGTTGATAGCATCACGCTGAAGTTCGTTAATCTTGTGTACAAAGCGCAGAGCTATTGTTTTGTGTGCTTTTACTGGCACTTGTTCTGTTATTTTATTGTATATTTATTAGTTAGACAAATTCAGCTTGCCGTTTTATATTTGTCTGTATCAGTTCTGATGTTTTATAGTGATTTTTGCGTCAGTTCCGAAAGGTATGTAACAGTAAACTTGTTTGAAAAATCGGTCTGCATTAGATGCTTTACGTTTACACACTTAATTCCAGTCGCCGCTCAAATTGTCAATGAGATACAAATCTAGGTTTACATATGTGAAATTGTTGTTGCACCATTTCTGACGAGGTGTCAAATGCGTCAACTGTTAAGCTGAATTTTTTTAAAATCGAGCCAAACCTGTTTTTCTTACCTTGCATCCGCCTCAATCGCAAACTTCTAGGAACAAGGAATTTCATTTGCTTCGTTCCAGTGACAGTAATCCGATTACCTGTGATCATATAGGACAGTATAGCGACATTTTCCGGACATGAAAGAGCTTACAAAATTTACAAATGGTCTGCTCGATGCACTCGCTTCACGCCTGCAATGCGCGCTGATCAAACCCTATCAAACCCAAACCATTCGACACAAAGATGAAACGTAAATCAGAACTATCATAAAAGCCGACTGGTCGCTTAGAGCTAGTGCAATTTTACGTGCTTCTTGCTTCATAAGAAAGTCTGATGAGCTCATCGCCATCACACTGACTTTGCTTTGGGCAAATCAGTCGAAGCTGTGCTGAACAACACTGTTAACAGTTTGGTTTTCGTGTTTGGCTACCAGCACAGTGGCGCTACAAGTTTACGATGTCGATACTGACGCACGAACTATACGTCACTTCAACAATCAACATTATAGCCGTTATCGTCTGTCTTGTCCAAAGCCGGCCGGCGTTGAAGGACGCAGCAAAGAAAGCGCTTCAAGTATTTAAGTGAAGCAGCAAGCCGGACAAGCGGATAGACAAGATCTGACGGTCACGCGTGCCGGGCGACCGACTGAACGAGATTTGTCGAGCCATGACGAAGGTTACAGACTATGTCGGTAACTGGGGCGTTTACCAAACGTATGTGTACGTGTTGCTTTTCATACCGACGTTTCTGGATGGCAGCCAGAGTCTGATCTCGGCGTTCATCTACGCCATCCCAAATACCAGGTGAGCTTCGATGTGCTCCTCCTTCGGTAGCTAGTCAATGATCGACAGCATGCATTCATCATTTGTAGATGCTTCGTTCCCGGTGTGGACAGCTGGGACAACGAATCTTACGAGCTTCCGCTCAACCTTAGCCATCGTTTGTATTTGGCACCGATGAAGGTGGCCGGCAAGGACTCCTACTGCTATTACTGTCCGAACGTGACCGATGGCGTGTGCACTAAGGATCGTGCGATGCTATGCAATCACGGATTTGTTTACGACAGGTCGCAGTACACCAGCACCCTCGTTACACAGGCAAATACTTTGCAAACGTCGTTGAACACTTGCATAAGAGGATGATTTTCAGTTGAATTTGGTGTGCCAATACGCGTACATGAGAGACCTCCTGAGGGCGCTATATATGGTTGGTGTTCTGGTTGGCGGTTTGGTCCTTGGCACGATTTCGGACAAGTATCATGAGATTTCATGCAATGCTCAGCTTCTAAGTTTGCAAGTCACTGTCTAGGCCACTGTTTTCGCCATCATTTTATCGTGTGAATTATTGCTGATGTGTCAATATCGTCTAGGGCCGGCTGTTCAATCAGTTTTTGCTCTCTACGATCCGGGATCTGAAACCAAACAAGAGATAGTTTAATGGATTTCAGTACCGTTAAGAGATTCGTTGCCATACTTGCTGGAATTCTCTTCAGATGAATATATTTTCATCCGTAAGATATTGTCAATAATCACTGATAATTCTCCATTTTACATCGCCACAAATACTTCCTTCTGCAAAGTGCAAATGTTGCTACGAGATAAAAAGTGTGCATCAACGTCAACGCGAAAATGATGACTAAGTTGCAACGATGGTAATAACTTCCGAAAATTAGCTCTATTGGGTGAAAGTTCAAACGCGGCTACTAACCTTTCTGGCTAAAACAATAATAACCTTATTCGATTGTTCGTTTAATAATTTCCGCAGTCGCGCTGTGCCACTATGAGTGGAACGTTAACTAACTTGTTTCTCAGCTAGATTTTAAATGGCACTCTTCTTTCATTAGAAACAATTAGTTTTCTTAACTTTTTCAAGTGATCGTCTGTTTCACGATCAAGCCCACTGCCGATGATCGTGGGTGAATACGAGTTTAATTTTAGTTAGTCTTCTATAAATATCGAAACAAGTATCATTGCCTTTCTCAACCATGTGCCTGGCGTGATGTCGGCGTTGATTGCTAATCTGTACGCAGCACAGGTTAAGAATCTGAGTACCACCAATCCGAAATATTTTGGATTTCATAACATTGCATTAATTCGCTTTTCAGTCCTGAGTTTTTTTGATATATCTTTGGATAATATGAAAAACGACGGTAGCAGCCTTCCCATCCCTCTCTTCTTCTCAACCTTCCGTCGGCAGCCTTATCCTCTAATACCTTGCTATTCAGAAAGAGCCTCCCTCAATCTGTAACGAGAGCCGAATGGTCTAACTTTGTCGGAAGTTATGTACGTCCTATTCGAGCGCACATTTGATCAGTATTCATTTCTCCTGCAGGTTGAAAACGGAAAACACGTCAAATACCCTATTTTCATGCCTGCATTTTATTATGGAAAAATCTATTCGCTCCTAACTTCCATCCGCTCTTCCTTCCACTTCCTTAACCTCCGCCCCTTCCAATCTATATAAGCTGCATGAAAAGGTTTTACTGCACCTGATGATGTTGTACTACAACGAAATCCGGGTGGTTTCAATTTGTGGAATAACTGAGTTCCCTTTTCTGGTGATTTGTAAGGAGGTCCTACGCCGTTTTCTAGAATATCCGTAACTTCACTCTCACATCGGGCAGACCCTTGGAATGGAAACTCACTGTTTTGAGTCATGAATAATGTTAGTCAAAAGAAGCAGATTTGCTATTTTGTATGTTTAAATGGAGAATTTTGGTGGGAAAATGTGTTAAACGGTTTCAATACCTTATATTTCGAAATTTTGTGACCAGTTATGAGCTTTTCATCGATCTCGTTTCCCTATAGACACACTTCTCCGGAACGAGAGAAAATTCTCATGATGGTCCCGTTTCTTAACGCGGTTGTGTTATAGGTATACAGTAAACCGTCAAACATTGCCAGTGCGAGGCTTCTGTGAATACCGTACCAATGTTTCTGAAAGTTTGGGTTTCTTTCAATTCCCTTCAAATCTGCCATATTAGGCATTCCAAAATCTGAAACAATTCGGTCCAGACCATTTCGGATTAGGAACAGTCAACCTGAAGTAGTAAATGCCTGGTACAAACAAAGAATTGACTTTGTTGATTGCGTTGAAGCAAGCCTCGTTAGCTTCTGCTCCTTGGGTAGCTTGGCTCCTTGGCTTGGCGAGCAAAAACAAAACGCTTTGCTCATTCTATTGGCCGCATATCAGATTGACGTGCTTTTCAGGTTTTATGGAAAATCGAGCAGTTTTAACTGCTTTAGGCGACGTATTGAGTTTGCAACTCATTTCAATTAAGTCGTTTTTCTTACCTGGTCTTACCTCATCCATGGAAAACAATTATTTTTCAAAAATTTAATTGTCAACATCGGTTAAATATTTCGCTTTTGTCCATGAATGCTGAAATTTGCTTATTCTACTTTGACCATCGCTCTTTTGCTTTTTTGCTAGAAATCACAGGACCAGTTTGTGATTAGTTCCGTTCTCAATCACTTCTCTAGCGTTTCTAAAGCGAAGAGGTCAGAACAGAATGTCCACCTTCTATGAGTTGCAAATTAGTCGCGAGTAATCCTTGTTAGTTTCGTTTACCATTTTAGTGTTGCAGAACACCGCACATGATTCGCCTTATAGATATGGTCGCAAAACTACATTGATCATCACCGGACTCATGCAACTGGTCATTGCAAACAGCATGCCTTTCTGCCAGAACTACTATCTTTTCGCTCTACTGCGAACTCTAATGGGCGTGCTTGGAGTTGGTACCTTTCTTTGCGGATTTATAATAGGTGAGCTTGTTGAGATATTTGCTTGTCTGTAACCGCGCATGCGCAAATTTTTTATAAATTTAATTTCGTTTTCAAACCATGTATAATCATCAATAGCTAAGATACGAGATCACAGATCATGGCAAAAGGTGATTAACACGCTCTTCCTGGTCAGACGAATTAGAGACAGTCATCCAACAGCACTTAGAGCCAGAATGTCATTATGATTCTGTCATTTGCGAGAAAGTGACCAAACCCGATTTGTACATCAGCTGTTGTCGTGAGGACCCATACGTAACGGGAAAAAGTTGGCCAGCGAGCAAAATATCTGCAAAAATTAGATAAAGTTTATTGTTTTCCATCGCCGCTTTTCTCCTTACGGGTAGCGTAGGCAGACGCGTCAGACAGTGCTTCCAACGTTCCCGATCATGTGCCAGAGTCTGAGCTTCGGCAAAAAAAAAATGGAATCTGGAACAGATTCCTTCCATATGTTTGCACCAGGTCAACCTTGGCCGTCCCCTGGGCCTTCAGCCGGTCGGATTTGCTAAGAATAGTTGCCTAGCTTTCCTTTTTGGAGGCATTCGCAACACATACCCAAGCCATCGCAGCTGTGACTTCTCAATCTGGAGAAGTAGAGGCTGCGTATTCCAAGGCTCTTCCGGATGTCTGTATTCCGGGCCATGTCCAGACGCGTAAGGCCAGCGACTCGTGTAAGAAAGCCCATTTCAGCAGCTTGTACCCGGGTTCGAAGCTTTTTAGTGATGGTCCACGATTCATGACCGTAGGTAAGTATGGGAATAAAGATCGACTAGAATATTGAAAGCTTAGTTTGCAGACTGAGTTCTGCTTTAGTCACAATGGGTCGGCTACTTCACGCAGAACGACACTGGCTACTCCAATTTGCCGGTCGATCACTTCCTATAACTTTCCATCACTAGTAAATACAGTTCCGAGGTACTTGAACTTCTCCACCTGCTCCAGTGCCTCTCGGTTAATCTGAAGAGAGCAACGGACAGGAGAACGAGAAAGCACTAGGCTTTTCGTTTTAGATGCGTTCACATGCATGACGGTCACTCGGATGAGCAAG